TAATAAAATTTTTTAAAACCTTATTAAAAATTTTGCAAAATTCAAGAAAAAAATAAACCATATCAAAATAGTAAAACTATATCAAAAACTTAGTAAAAAGTTAGCAAAATTAAAGGTTTAGTCATTTTGTCAATCAAAAATAAATTTAAATAAGTAACTTTTTAATCTTATTCTTTTAATAAATGAATGAGACTTTAAATAAAATATAGTTAATAAATAACTTATCTAGAGGTAGGTCATATATCAATATGAACTTGTTCCTATTTGTTTTAAACACACAAAAAAAAAAAAATTTTTTGAATTTTATTTTTAAGAGAAATTAGATAAATTATATGATATACTGTAAGTATAAACTAATTAATTTAAATATAAATTAATCTAACTAAAAACGCGAAATGTTGGATGATCGACATATTTATAAATAGAGTAAATTCTGTGCAAATCCTGCAAAATTCATTATCTTTATTTTTAAAACTTTAAAAATATTATGGATATTGAATCCCACCTTCTTAAGAATTATGCTTCTTAACGTCCATTACATACATGATCAAGAAGTTGAACCAAACACTCGATAAGGTGATATTATTAGATCCTTTACTATAAATATATATATTAAAACATCTGATTAACTTTTCTCTCGACTTTTTTTTTAAATTAAAAATAGCTTTTATAAAAGAAAGTAAGAACGTTTACTTTAAATGAATATTCAATGATTGCTATAGTCAACTTATAATGAAGTAGATGTTTATCCTGTCCTATTCGTTTAGAGAAAGATCTGCCTTCTTGCCATAACCTAGCCCAGCGTACGTCTCACAAAATAGATAATTCAATGGTGTCTTCCCGCATAAACTCTCGCGTCATGAATATACCTGTAAGTAAAATAGATACCTAGTGACACAATTTTCACTTTCGTGATTTATTACTAATCATATTCTACAATTTTCTTATAACATTATGTAAAAAGTACTTTACCCATACAGCGATCGCGCATTGGTTATTTGCTATATAAATTAGGGAACGGAAAGATATGGATAGATTTATTTTGTTTCTACTTTCTAAGATTCACAAGAATTCTTAAGAATGTTATTTAATATTATAATAATAATAATATAGAAGGTTGAATTATATTGAAAGTTTGAAGATTCCAAAGCGCCAAGGAAAAGGTTTATGATTAGCAAACAGGTTGGATGGATCACATTAATGAATCAAAATCGACAAAGAATAAAAATTCTTCAAATGCATCCGATTATTTCCTTGATCAGTTTTCATACGATCACCGGTTGCTCGTAAACCTTGGATTTTTTTTTCCTAATCACGGAGTGGATAAAGAAGACCGGATTCTTTTTGTTGGCCGACATTTTCGGATGAGTCAAGTGAAGTCTTACTTAATTCGTACACGAATTATGCCGACAGAATAAGCGCTCCAAATATTATATTTGATTATTACCAACTTCTTGACAAACGATGACTAATTTTTTTTCTCATATTTATTAGCCAGATGCATGGATTTGTAACCGCTATGATGATTTGTAAAAGAAGACTCGCAAAACTCTTTGATCCACTCGTGACTTTTTATTGATAATAAGGATGTTTTTTAAGGGATAACAATGTTATTATTAAGTATCATCAACAAATAAAATAATTGTGGTGAGGATCGTTTGATCTTGATTATTGTTCTGAGGATTGATTGTTAATGTCCATAATTACGGTGGAATCTCATTATATCACCGAAATCGATTCACATAATTGATAAATAGAATTGAATACTCCATGTGATCAAACTTGAATTAATTTTGAAATACAAAATTGCATTAATATGCATAATATATAGTATATAAAATAAAATTGATTTATTTATATTTATATGTATATAAATAAAATTCATTTTCTCGTGATGAATTCAAGTTTCAATATGGTTTAGATTTATAATGTATTACTACAGTGGCGTTTAATAATTAGAACCCTTGCGATTCCCTTATGGCGTCATTTGTCGCATGCCCATGTGAAATTATGCAGTATCAAAAATTGTTCTCCAAATGAAATATTTTGTCATGTAATTGAACTTATAAATTTACTGTATATTTATAAATAATAAATGTTGAGATAGTTTCCGGATTATTTAGAAAACAATCGAATTCACACCGGCTGAATCACCAGTTTCTTAATAAGGAAATTCAAACAGATAAATTAGGCGCAGTAAAACGACCAATTGATGATGTATTTTCTATAAATATCAAGTTGTTTGTTTATAATCAAATTTAAATTTTTGGATAAAGAAAGAGAGACAAATTTATATGCAACAATTAATTAGAAATTCCGATAAGAAAATGTTTGTTTTTTTTTTTAATATCGTAAATTAAAAATTGGCATGTGCCCGTTTTGGTGAGAGTTTTTCTGCCAAAAGTGAGTCCCATAAAAAAATGTAAGTGATCTAATTTCTTTTCTAATTAGGGTTTGGATATGCCGTCATGTCGGTTTCGTCCGTTTCACAGCCGTTGAAAGAATGGAAAAAAAGGTGGGGTAAATGATTTCGCGTGATACCAATCGGGAATACCTAGAAAAAATTAGCACAAAAAAAAAAAAAAAAAAAAAAAAATGTATAGGAATTATATTTCTTTGCTTGAAGAGAAAATCCGATGAGTTCAACTAACCTGCCTTTGGGATTCATTCCCGAAAATTAGAATTATCAATCTAGTGTTTCCACACCACCCACATAAAGATAAGCATGATCGTGATACAAAGTTATCACAAAGGATATCACGTGCATAATCCAATTTGAAAAGGATAAACTAAGATAAATATAAATAAATGAGATTAGATAAATTTGAAATGTATGAAGGTAATTTTTACGAGCGAATCAGCAAAGCGTTAGTTTTATCACCTTTTTATTATCTTTTTATGTAAATTATGATAGGCCATTAACATAGATAGATACTCGTACAAATTTAATAGCATAGAGACACCACATATATTTTTTGATCAAGTAATTCTTTTCTGATAAAAGTTAATTTGGTGATTGATTGATGGGGATTGTTTGTTTGTTCACCTTTTTTTTTTTTTATTTTTTTTTACTCCTTTGTTTTTCATTAATTTATTATTTATTTATTCACGCACTGTCCGTGTTTCCTCCGTTGTAATTAATAATGTAGAATTGAAAATCGATGGGAGAAAAGGATAAATAACTTTTTTTTTTTGTTGACGGAATTCCCTTTTTAATTCCGTAATCAAGGGAAATCTTATCAATCTGGTCAATCGAGCAGAAATTTCCTGAGAGAGAGATTACGATAAAAAAAGGATCTCATTCAAAAAAAAAAAATTAATAATAATAATAATAATAAAAATAATAATAAATGTTTGTTGTTGTTTTCCAGGGAAACGTTTCTTCCGAGAATAAGCAAAGAAATTGCGAGCGATCGGACTGTCGGGTTGCGTACGGGATGAAGAGAAAAAGGAAAAGAATTTACCATCACAGCATAATTATTAATTTTAGTACAACTTTCAAAAAGAAACAAATGTTTCATGTTTGTCATGACTGCACATCACACGAGGTCAAAAAAAAACATGCAATTCATATATTATAATTTATTTGTTACTCTTGGTTTGTAATACTATTAAGGGATTGCCTAGAACATCAGAAGAACCTATCACATATACATGGTTCTTGCTAAATTAAAAATGCTTACTATCGTATCACCTATTTACGCCCAAACTTTTTTCCAAACCTTTAAAGAGAATGATTTTTCTTTTTAAAAAAGGGAACAACATGTGCCTTTCTGTTTGTTACAGATAAGAAATTCCATTTACGAGTAAAGAAGGACATCATTTTTGCGCGTCAAAAAATAATAATAATAATAATAATAAAAAAAAAAAAAAAAAGAGGTCGTAAGGATCATCATTTTCATCTCTATTAAAGTGGGGAATAAAAATACTTTGGTGGGTTTATCGGGTTTCCCCGTTGAATTCTACATTAATTATTAATAACAAACAAAATAATTATCAACAAGCAAATCTCATTATGATATCAATTCCGGAAAAAAAACCCATTAATTTTAGACACTTATCAAATTTTAGTATACACATAAAAAAAAAAAGAATGCTAATCAATTTTTGTGATATTTCCTTTGTGTGATATGGTCATATAAATATTTGGTTTACCTAAATTAACTACAAGTTGTTTGTGTTTGTGTTGTGGTGTGTGTTGTGTTGTGTTGATTAAGTTGCCTTTTTTTTAATAAACTCAAAAAAAGAAAATATACTTTATGATGTATATGTGTTTGTTTTTTTTTTTTTTATGTGGCCTATTGTAACGATTTTAACTTCTTATCTGAAGTTGGATTGATGTTGTAATGTGAACTGTATTAGTCAATAAATAAACAAATAACTAACAAACTCATCCAAAACTCAGATATAAATTTGGCTTGTCAGCCATGATTTGATGCATCCCGAATTTCCGACTATAGTTTTTCTTTCGTTTTTTTTTTTTGTTTGCTGATATCTCGCTTTTTTTGGTTGGGGTTAAAGTTTTTTTGTGTATTTGAAAAAAAAAAAAAACCTTCTATTCAAAAAAGTTTATTTATGCACATCATCCTTCCCCCCTTAAAAAAAATTACTTCATCACGAAAAGTTTTTTTTTTTTTTTTTTGACTTTGAATCAAATTTTATCTTTGATTTTTTTCAGGACCCCTCAAACTTTTTTTATTATTTTTTTTTTTTTTTTCCTTATTCTTTTTCATTCTCGACATATTTATAATATATATATAAAAAATAAAAATTATTTATTAAAAAAAAAAAAAAAATTTTAAAAAAAAAAAAAAATATACATTAAAATATTTTTTGTACATAGAGACTTTATATATGACGAGGTCGTTATTCTCTGTATAAACTACATGTCTCGGTACCCAAACATTGAACGCTACCCACTTCTACCACTAGACATCATTCCTCTTTCGACCACCTTTTGTCTTCTGTATTAGCTTCGCGTTCGCGGAACGATCAAGAGCATGCAACTAACAACTTATTACCAAACACCGCGTGTTTCTTCCTCTCCAACCATGACAACTCTTCCAACTTTACCTCCCATCAGTACGTTTCCTTACAATCATACTTTGCCACCAATAATATCTTCAACGGGTAGCTCTTATAATAATAATAATAATAATAATAATAATAATAGTAAAGGTCTTTCAAATTCAAACGTTGAAAGAAGTGAGCAACAGCAACCACCACCACCTCGTTATACTTCCTCCATGAACACACCGCAATCAACACCGACGACGCCATACTCGGCATCTTCCACCAACTCATTTTCCTCAACTTCTTCATTTTCTCCTTATTCATCTCTTCCCCAACAGCCACCTCCAACCCAACCTCCGGCACAACTGTCTCAATCACAACCTACATATTATCAAAGATCTCCACCAGCCTCATTCTATTCTCCGCCTACTTATTCTTATTCACAATATTCGCAATCACATTCCCCAGCACAACCATCGTGTCGTAGGCCGCAACAACTTCAACATTATTCATCACAACAATATAATTTACAATCACCACCACATCATCAACATTCACAAATATCAACTTCACAGCAATCACCCACCCCAATACGCCCATACCAAAGGAATCACAATTCACAAAATGTCATATCCGAACCTTTCGTAACTGTCACGCCCGAGTTAAATAATAGGCCTCCCAGGCGACGACGGCGTCCCCCATTTTCATACTCATCACTCATTGCTCAGGCCATCTTGGATTCACCTGACAGGAGATTGACATTAAGGGAAGTTTATCAATGGATAATGGAGAGATATCCGAAATTGTACAAAGCGGATGATACCGGTTGGCAGGTTAGTCAAAAAAAAAAAAAAAGGCGTCAATGCCCTTTCTTGTCCTAAAACTGGTTATGGGGTAACTCCCACCTCCTCCCCGATAAATCAATTATTATTTTATTTATTTGGTTAACGTTTGTTTTTAGTAATGATGTTTTGTTCTTTCTACTTACCTTGTGTCACCAACCTTTCTTTTTCCCACTCCTTTTTTTTATCTTATTTAGAATACAATTCGTCATAATCTATCATTAAATAAGTGTTTCAAAAAGGTACCTCGTTCTGATACCGAATTGGGTCACTCAACGTCATCATCGACGGCTAGCAAGGGTAAAGGTGGTTATTGGACGATAGATCCAGAGTATATGTCTTCTTATCATGATGGCGTGTTCGCGAGGGGTGGTGTGCAAAAACGTAGACCTGGTGAAGTGGGTTTACATCCATTGGGTGTTGGGTCAGGTCTTGGTGATGATGATAGTGGTGGTAGCGATACCCCATCGGACAATATGGCAGGTAGATTGGTTGATGTTGATGATGGTGAGAATGGTTATCATCCTCACCATCACAATCATCATCCTAATCAACAGCATCATCATCATCACTACCACCATGGTGGTGTAGTTGGAAACAATGGCATGCCCTTAACGTTAAACGTACCTCCTCCAGCGACTGTTTCACCTTCCGCGTCAATGACTCCTCCTCCAACTTCAAATTTATTACAAAACAAATCAAAAATTTTCTATACCCCGAAAAAAACCGAACAAAATTTTGTAAATTTGGTTTCACCTTCTTCACCGTCCTATCCGAGCATGAATGCAAGCGGATCAACTTTTGTGTTCGATATAAATGATAAGCCTAATGCCGAGGGTCTCCTAGATGGAGTGAGTGTCCCTCTTTCTGACCGGCGATATCGCGTGGATCTCTCTCCTTATCCGGTGGTGGGATCAAGAGGTGGGCCATGTTCGGAGTGGAATATGGGTGATGCTGCAATTAAGAGAGAAATCGATGATTCACGTCATTCATATTATTATGGCAATCATTCAAGGGGCGTAACTGATCTTCAACAATTTGTCGGTGATGCGAATTCGTCTCATACATACGTGACTGGTTCTTCGTCGATGAAGATCCGCGATTTATTAAATTAGTTAATATGATTTGTTCCCTTTTAAAGGACGGACTTTGACAATGTTTTTCAGTTTTTATTTTTATTTTTATTTTATTCGTCGCCGTAACTCGGTTCCCAAATCAGTTTTTACCTTTTGCGGAAGAAAAATAATTTTTTTTATCTCATCCTAAATTTATTAGCTTTTTTTTTTTCTTATTAAAAAAAATAATTAAGAATATTCGCACTAATCGCATTATTATTTCACACCACATTTTCCCGTTTATCGCAAATTTCTTTAAAAAAAAAAAAAAATTTTTCGTAAACAAAATTTTGCTTTCACCTTATTGGTTTTTTTTTATCCTTCACCCAGAAAAATTCTTCGTGTATATACATATGTTTTTTTTTCTTATATATTGATTTTTCTCTTTTTTATTGATCGCCCGCCCCTTCCTTTTTTTTTCTTTTTTTTTCTTTTTTTTTTCTTTTTTTTTTCTTTTTTTATATATATATGTATATTATATTATATTATATATATATATATATATTGAAATAAAAAACGAAAAAGACGGATCCCGAGCGATGATGTTATACTACTATTTATTTAGACCGAAATTAGACTTTTATTATAGACTCGAATTCGTCAGAACAGTATATTTTACATATACTGTTTTATATTAAATTATACATGTAATATATATGTATGTATTACATTTATATATTAAAAAAAAAAAAAAATTTTGTAAATCAACACATTTTTGATAGAATGACATAAGCAAATCGTACATAATAAATAAATTGGGCTAAACATAAACAAATAACTATTATGATGAATTTCCGTATTTGTTTTTCATTTTGATACATCTTATATCTTAAATGTCACCTATTTAATTATTATTTTGAGGTCTTTTTTTTAATGATAAAAGGGTTCCGGACCGATATGGTAAAATTTAGGCGTAGCAATTATCAAAGCTTCTGACGCAGCTGTCGTCTCGATTTAGACATTATTTAAACATTTAAGTACTTTGTTGTCATCATCAACAAAATTATTATGAGCAACCTTTTTTGGTATGTATAATCGAAAGTATTTATACTATTATTGATAGATGCGCATAATTTATCCGATTTATGTAATGGGGAGACACTCCCGAAGGAATAATAAAGCATGTCCAGAATACAAACCTCAAAGAGGTCTTGGAAGCAATGTAAAAAGCATATCGGGACGTGTAGATTTAAAAAATGAACATTTCTTTTACGTTAATAAAGAATTTTGAGAAATTTTTACTCTTTTATCTGGTTCTTTGGAATCAAAAAAAACAGGATATCAATTTTTTCTTTAAAAAATTAAAGCTAGATTTGTTTAATATAAAGATATTAACACCTGTTTAATCACTGATTTATTGGATTTTAAGAATAATTTAATTTTTAAAGTTAAATTATTCCAATTTGATAATGTTTCACGAATAATTTAATGTTAAAGTGCATAATTAAATAACTTTTAATATATTATTAATTTAACCAAAAAATTTCGATATTTGAAAATAAATATTGTCATATCACAAAAAAGTATAATAATCACATTTATAATCTGTAAAAAAATCAAAAAAAAAAAAAGTATTTTTTAAATAATATTTCTAATAAGTTTGATAAAAAAATTTTGTAATTGATATTAATTTTAAACTTTTCAATTTTAATTATTTTAATTTTAACTTTATTAGTTCAAAATAAGGTTACTGGGTGAAATCTAGAGGTTTTGCAATGTTAAAAGGTAAAATTTAGCGAAATTATATTAAAACCTTATTAAAACATCTGCGAAACTCTAGAAAAGGTAAAATTATGTCAAAGCTTATAAAAATGCAAAACTATATCAAAACCTATAATAAAAAATTAGCAAAGCTAAAGTTTAGACGTTTTGCCAAATTTAAAATGAGTTTAGACAAGGCAACTTTAGTTTAAAACAAAGTAAAGGACTATATATTTTTATGCAAAATGTCTTAATGTCTATCTACTCAATAATTGAAAGATGCTAATTGATAATTATATATAAAATTATATTTACTGATTTTATAAGATTTTATTCTTTTTATATTTTTTTCTTTATGATTAATATGTTTTATTTCAATTTTTATTGTAAGAATTGCTTTGTTATTTATTAATGATATTCTTTTTATAGTATTTTAATATTAAATCATAAGTTATTTAAAAATATTTAAATATATTAATATTATTAATATATAATCCTTGCAAATTATGACAATTAAACAGTATGTTAAGAGTTGTTTCTTTTTAAATTTACATAGTAAATATGTGATTATCCCAAATAATATTTATAATAAATGTAAATATTTACGAACAAATACTTGTTATCAAAATATTATATAGTTGATAATTTACAATAAAATAGTTTATTAATAAAATAGAAGAAAAATAAAAATAATAAATAAATAAATAAATAAATTATTTAACAGAAGGTAAAATGCAATAAATAAACTAAGTGTTATTTAATAGCCTAAGTGTATATGAACTACTAAGAGAAATTTTATTAAGTGTATTTGAAACTAGATCTACCTGAAAAGTTTGAATAATTGAATTTTATATATAAATATTAAATATATAGAATAATATATTAACTATCTTAGCTTTTAACAATTTTAACAATTATCAATTATATTATTATTTAGATTATATTAAATAAATTAATCATATTTTAATAGTCTGATTACAATATATATCTCTTTTGTATCTTTTATTAAATAATTCTATATATAATAATATAAAATAATTTATCAAATAAATTAAATAATCATTCAACTTTAGTTAATTTTTATCTTATAAATCAAATAATTATCTAATTTATTTAATTTATTTTATTTTATAATTATTTAATAAGTTGTAATTATTAAATAAATTATATAATTATTATACTTTATGATAATCAAATAAAATAAATCATTTAAATATATTATAAAATTTTATTAAATAATAATATACTAATTATTTATTAATTTAATAATTAAAAAATCATTAGAAAATTTAAATAATATATTGTAAATAGTTAAAAATTAACACATTTAATTAAAATTTGAAGTAAAAATTATTTATTCTTATAAAAAATATAAAGAAAAAATAAATTAATTTTTATATAAACTAGTTTTTAATTAAAATTTTTTAAACTATAATTTTAATAATGATATTAATAAATAATTTTATCATTAAAAAAATAAAATATAATGGTAATAATTTGATTAAAAAAATTTTATTATTTAAAATTATAATTTTAATTTATTATATTAATTGATTATAAAATCTACTATGAAAAATAAACTTCAATACATATAATAAGATTTCTAAAAATTAATATTTTATATTAATAATTCTACAATTTTGTTTATGATAATAGAATTATTTATATAAATTTATAGAAAATAGATGTTGATTGGATTCAAACCTCTTTCATTCTCAACGATAATGAAAACAACTCCTATACATCCTTCAAAGCATCTTCCATCTGTAAATTTAAAATCAAACTCATGCTTAAACTGTTTCCTACCTTAGAAATCCTCAAGATAAGACACCCAAATCTATATGACTAATCATAGAATTGTCCTAAATGTTTGTATACTATGAAACTTTTAATCACATTTTAAACTTGTGCCAAAATTAAACACCAATTCATTGACATTATATTCTTGATCAAAAAATTTTTTATACAACATCTCATTACATTAACCTCAGACACTCAGAATTTTACAGATCTTCTAGATTTGACCATTTAGTCCTTAAATAATCGACCTGACTTTTTTAACTTTATTAACTTGATCAAAGAAATTGTATCCTATCCCTATTCAATAAAACACACTGCTTTATTAACAACCTCTAATTAATAAACAGTCTCCTATTTTCTACTTACTATTATGCATTCTTCTAAATAAAATCCATCTGACTTGATCATTATAATGATATAAAAATTTTGAGAACCTTAACAACATCTCACTCAATGATCAAAATTACATTTCACTAACACTAATTTTCCTTCATTATCATCACACAATTTTAGTATTCTTTTATACTTTATCTCCTCCTTTAGATTTGGTACGAACTGGTTGAATTTTTAGATCAGTAATAATCACACTCCCTGTATTAGATGGTTGAACCTATTCTAAGTTTATTTAAATAGGTTAGTCTAGAACGATATAAAGTTGATTTTGATTTAGTTTTACTGCTAAATAGGAATTTTTGTACTCTCTATCTTGTAATTTGTAATTTTGTATAATTTTACTTTACTCTTAAATAAAGATTATGCAAAGCTATCGTACGTTAAAAAAAAAAATATATAAATCTATAGAAAAAAGTAATAATTATGAAATTAGATTATAAGTTATATATTTAACAATTTAAAGTTAAAAGGATAAAGTTAAATTTTATTAAATAAAAAATTAGATTTATATAATTTAATAATTTTAATAAGCTCTTATTTGCAAATTTATAAATTATAAATTCCTATATATTTCAATAAATATAGTAACTAAACTAATTCAAATTAAACTAATTTAAAAACATTAATTAATTATTTCAAAATTACATAAAATTTTTAATCTATTATTATTATAAATTAAAAAT